TAAAATATTTTTACTGATACTCAAAAACTATTGAAGTCTTTTGGGATATATATAACATAAAAACTGCTTCATGGATGTCTATTACCTCTTTATAAATAATAATAAAATCTTAGGATTTTATGAATTATTCTTAAAACACTGATCAAACAATATGGAATCTGCAGGTGTAAAGATTCCTGTTTAATCATCTCCATGGTACCCATATCTGACTTACCATTAAAATCCATATAAGGAGTTTTACAATAGATTCTTGGCGTCAAATCAGACCTGATGAGACAAATTTACCAAGGATAGTGGAGTACATAATTATTTCCAGTTATTTTTTCAGGGGATTCATATGACAAACTAGGTTTGGGAACCATGAATTTAGACTAAAACCAACCAAATATGGTGTACTCATAAATATGGATTCCACTAGGTCCACACATAATGTCTATTTGGGATTAATTACCAAAACATGACAATTTTATTATTAATTAATTATTTTCGAATCTCATTTACAGATTCCAGGATGAACTTAAAATCACAGTGTAGCCCAGGCTTGGCCTCAAACTTGCAGCTATCCTCATGCCCTAGCCTCCCAAGTGCTGGGATTACAGGTTTGCACCACCATGCTCAGATAACACAATATAATTTTAAATCTCTTTTTCTTGCAAAACAAAGCTATAGGCTCGGTCTTGACTCACCTTAGGAACTGTAACATCCTGCTTTTTTTAAAATCAGTTAATCACAAGTTTCAGGGGTTATAATTAATTATTTTTCAGGCATTTTTTACTTTACACTAATCCAGCTTCTTTAATTTTTTCTAACAGTTCCTATTTTTTAACTTCTTAATGCTTTTTACCTCTTCTCAGAAATCTATTTTCTCCAAGTAGGAAGATGTGGATATTGATAGCGGGCAAAATATGAGCAGTATAATATTTTTTTAAAAATTTTTTTATTAGTACAGGTTTGCAGCACATAATAATTACGTTTATTATGGGGTATTGTTATATGTACGTAACATATCTTAATTATGTTTTCCCTTCTCTTCCATCCCTCTCTGCTCCTTGGAGGAGGGGAGGGACAGGAGGGGAATGAGAAGTATAATGTTGAATAATGGCTAATATTCTTGAAGAACCACTTCAAATGTCGGGAAACTAAACTTGACCATTTCAGCTTCTGTGGGTCATTAGAGCATGTAATTTTTACAACACATGCATGAACCTAGGCATCATGAAACTAGAAATGAAAGTGTGACTCACTTTAAGTAGAACAACACATCTTTTTAAACGTGGACTTTCATAATTTACTTTTCAAACAGCATATTGTTTCTCACGTGTGAAAAATCCAAAGAAGAAATAATGGAGTGTAGATAGTAGGAAATAGGAAGAACTTCTTCAAATGGAAAGAGGAACGAAAGATGGGGGAAGGAAGAGGGGAGAAAGGGAAAAGGATTTAAAAGAAAAAAGAACTGAAGGAAAAAATGGAAACAGCTTTTGTAAATGGGGAGGGGAAGATGGTTTGGAGGAGAGGGGAAGTGGGCAAAAGAAAAGAATTAAGGTGTGTTATGTACATGTACAAATCCCCCATGATGAATGTGATCATTATATACTGCAAACATGAACTAATAAAAGAATAAAAATAGGATCTATACACATCCATAAATGGATGCATAGTTGTCTGAGGGTTAACTGGACCATTGTGATGAGAAATAGATGATGTGGCATAACTCTGATAGCATTGCATAACCTAAATTCTAACAATTAAAATATTTAGTCACAAAAAAACTTTAAATTAATCATGAGCCTACTCCCTAAGAAAATAATGAGTTTAAGTTAATTTGCTGAATGTGTTTCATACACTGAAATCTAAACCAATCTATCTTTCTACTCAACTTTATTTTTAACCCAAATCAAATAGTGAACCAGCTGGAACTGGAAAAAATAAAACTTACAGAGTTTTTAAAAGTGAAATATCAATACATAGCAAAACTGAAATATCAAAACATCTGCTATACGGACTCTAAATTGACTGAAACTTTATTTAATTCCTTAGTTCAAGCACCCTGTGTATATACAGTGGCATTTTGTCTGGTTCAATAAACAAGTTAATTTTCCTGGGGTGTAGGAAAAGAAGCCTCAATCAAAAATCACCTGGCTTCATCCAATTATCTGGTGAATTATAGCAGATTCCTCCTAAATACTTTCTTCAGAATTAATTTGTAATTGTCTATTGTCTTGAATACATACATGCATACATACTCATGATTTTAAATGCATTAACTATTACATAATATCGTTTAGTTCTATGAAATTTCTTCTGAGTTTACCTGGGGATTTCTTTTTGCTTTGTGGCAACACAGCATGACCATTTCTATTTTTTGAATCAGAAAATATTTTTTTGAGAAATATTTAAACTCAGTTAGATTGAGCCAATCTTCAAATTGAGGTTTAGTATAATATACTCTAATTCTAAGGGCCAGTGAACATCAACTCTATCATATACCTAATTTGGATATTTATTATATATTATATATATTTATATATGTTATATATAGTTGGAGTAATTTTTACTTTTCAAAGCATCTTTAAATTTATTTCATTTAGTTTTCATATTTTTAGCAAATTATATTTACATATTATATATTTTAAAATTTCCCACCTCTAAAGCCACAAAACTTGTCAAATATTACCAATAAATATAAGAAGAAAAATTTTATAATATCTTTCCATTGTCTTCTATTTCTTGCTTTTTGTGCATAATACACATTTATCAGTGTTGTGTTTGTTTGTTCGTTTGTTTTTGGTACTGGGGATTGAACTCAGGACCTTGAACTTGCAAGGCAGGCCGCTGAACCAATGAGCTAAATCCCCAGCCCCATTTATCAGTTTTGTTCCTGTATCATCATTCAACGTTTATTTTTTAAAGTTTCTGCTTTGTGCAATTGCCCTTGCTACGTGCTAAGGAGAATACAAAAAAAAATGGAATTTTGTTTTGCTCTTGGGATATTTGCATTTTAATAAAGTCAGTAATATTATGCTAAGTAAATTTGACCATTCTGTTTAAAATTCAAATTCAAATGTACTCCTGTATTATCTTCTGATTATCAGAATCTTGGTTTTGTGTCTGCCTTTCCTTCTTGACCAGCAATTACCGGAATGCAGAGAATGACTTCAGGAACCAGCAAGGAGTTTAACGTTAGACATATAGTACATATTTGATATTTTATGTCACTCCCTTAAAGATGTAAATTATAATGTAGGTTAAATGTGATTTGATTCTGTGCTGTACAGTATGTGTTGAGCTCTTAAAACTAGTTGAAAATAAGATTTAATATAAAAGTAAAGTATGAGTGTGGTGATACATACCTGTAATACCAGCCACTCTGCATGCTGAGAGAGGGAATTGACAGTTTGAGGCAAGCCTCAGCAACTTGGTGAGACCATGTCAAAATAAAATTTAAAGGGGAATAAGGGAAAAGGAAAAAAAAATATGAGAAAATGTAAAAATGGAATTAAAAGTGTTTGAAGGTGGGGAGGGGAGGAGGGGGTGAAGGGAGGG